GAGTTAGATAGATAAAAATCCAAACCATATATGGTAAGATTAGGGGCAAGGGCCCGATTAACTGTAAACGAATTTTCATTATAAACCGGAAGTCATGTTATTTCAATTCAAAAATATTTCCTGAATGGTGTTAGATAGATGACCGGCATGACTCTTGCTGACAGGAAAAGTATAATGTACAGGGGGAGGGCCAATAGTAATTTGAGATAGAGAGCATATATTTTAAATTTAAAAAATATGATTAAAAATTGCAGTCTAGCATTGTGACGACATCACAGTAAATATTTGCTCGTTCGTTTTATTTTTCTAACATCTTGCCTTGTATTTGTCCTTTTTGATGTGGTGTAATATTCACTTTTGAGTTGTGGACTTAATAAATACAAAAAATAATAATGACAATGAACAGCCAGTAAATTCAAATTTGGACGTCAATCATCTTGAAGTACCCGAAGTGGATGCTGATCACTACAAAATTATTTCTGTCTAGAAACAGTTCCTGCTGTTATTTTAAAAAAAATCCGTCGAACGAAAATCAAAATTCAAAATTACTAAAAATTAATATGTTGACTGAAATATTTTCTAATTGAAATATACAACCTTTAATTGAAGAAAAATGAAATACGCAAAAGATCGAAATTCCCTGCAAAAAAAAAAAAAANCAACCTATGGGTCGCGACCCAGAAGGGGGTCGCGACGGGCTTTCTGTGGGGTCGCCAACTTATACAGTTAACTAAAAAAAATGTTCACTATAATGCAATTTTTATTTTTAATGGTGTCTTGAACTTTGAATAATTTGATATACAGTCGACCCCCCTATAACACGGGTTCCTATAGCTCGGATTCCTATATGACGGCGAAAAAATTGAGACGGTATCTGTACAAACATGGTAAAAATCTCCTATAATTCGGTAAAACGTCATCGGGCAGCCGAAATACTTTCCGCCGTCCAGCGCCACGCTACGGAGAGTTTAGGCGAGTAAGTTCAGTTTACTATCGTTTGTACAGTATGTAAATTAGGTACCGTAAGTCTAATACAGTACTGTAATTTTATACATTTCTTGTGAAAGAAACGTTTCTTATTCAACGGCCATAAAAATTATTTATATTAATGATGTCTCCAAAGTTAAACGAAGTTTTCGCAGAAAAATAACTTATCAGAAATCGCGCCCACCGTTCGATGCGCTGCTCCTTTCAAACCTTTCAAACAGACGTTGTCCGTAAACTTCACACATGTCGGGCTGAGATTGGCAAGGTCTCCTAAAACATCAATTTCATAAAAAACGGAACGTATCTACCGTGTTATAGGGGGTCGACTGTATATAGGCCTATATATATAAAATAGAATACAGTAGACCCCCTATAACTGTTGCTTTTTCCGTTTTATATGAATTCCATGTTGTACGAGTCACTTAGATTTTACAAATACGTGTGCCGGGCTGTGAACGGCTCACGTATTTATAAAATCTAAGTGACTCGTACAACATAAAATTCATATAAAACGGAAAAATCAACAGTGTTATAGGAGGGTCGACAGTATCTTTCTGTCTGTTTTCTATACACTTCTAAACCATTTGACCGATCTGCACTAAATTTTTTATCAATTTTTTATAGGAACGTTGCGGAAAATATGGGCTACCATTATACCTGGACACCCCATTCCTTTTCCTGATATCTCTGGGCAGCTCTGGTCTATCCGCTAATAAATAAATAAAGAACGATAAAAACAAAAGTAAAAATCTGGCAACGTTCTTACTGGACTTACCCGGCATTGTTTTCATCTTTAATAAGTCTTTATATTGGTTTGGGGATATTAAACGGTTGGTACCATATCTCCAGAAACAATAATCCGATTTTCCTGAAAAGTTCTAGAAATATTTTATCCTAATACGCAAACTTTTCTGAAAATTTTCAAAAACGTTTGATAAAGGGCACAGATGTTAATAAGCTTCAAAGTGGGTTCAAAAATCGTGCCCCCTCCCACACACACTAACATCCATATATATGTTACTGTGAATGACCGATATCTGGCGAATGTCAACATTCTCTGGTGAATGTCAGCATTCACACAGTCGTTTCGTGTATGTACGAAATATTTGCTAAATATCATTATTTCTCACTTACACCGGCAAATGTCGACATTCAGCATGCACTGATGGTGAATGTTGAATAAAAATATTTTTATTACGTTAAGACTAAAATGCAACTTCTTAATATGTCAAAATAGGAGAAAGCTTAAGTAACAACACATGTAAATAAACTGTTGAACCAAAAACAAACAGTACATTCTAAATCATTAAAGAAAATAATACAATAATAAACTTACACATAAATTATGTGATTAA